ATGATCTGGAGCTCTTATTAAGTAAATTAATTTAAGTTAATTTAACTCGATCATGACTCCCGATCACAGTGATTTAGTGAGGGGGAAATTGCATTAGGAAAGGCCACACTCGCTAGATAGAAGAACGGAAGAAAATTAGATCCACTTAGCAATGTGAATTAATATGGAAATAGCAGGTGTAAATTTAACCTTATCAAGAGAGTGAAAATTATCTTCATAAATTTGGAGAAATAGCCCCCAAGTTGCTTATAAATCTATTTAAAACAAAAATATTACAAAAAGTGTAGTAAAATTAATTTAAAATATACTCCCATCTATCGCCTCTAAGAAAAGTCAGCAGCGGGGTGAAGTTTAATGCAACCTAGCAATAAGGGGAGAACACAACTCATCACCGAGGGATCAGCACCGGGTACCTCCGGACCCGAAGCGACTCTCCCCGTCACTCATTTCCCAAAGACACGTCCCTCTTCAGCTCAACCTGATGATTTAGGGGAGTTTCTCAGCACCAAGGGCAACATCTCAGCTGCCTCAATAAAGTTTCTTGCTGCAAACTGCAGCACAGACACCCAAAAAGAGATGGGGGGGGGAATGTCAGAAACATCTTTAATAATAGCAAGTTTGTAAGACAGACAAGAAGGTGGCTCCTGCCTAAAGTTTCTTACGGCAGCGTATTATGTCTGAAAAGATCAGTGGCCATGCAAAAACCCTTACACATCGCTTTTGGACCCCTCAAAACCTCAATTTAATAGTAGGGACCTCACCTTAGCATCAGCGCTGGCTGCAGCACCAGCAGCCTTTTAACATCACACTTCTGGCTTAAGGTGAAAAGGATATTAGAAATAAATAGGTGACCGTTCAAGTGCTCAACGGAAAGATAAAAATCAGGAGGTGACTGAAGCGGTGCTGAAGGCATGAACGGCGGGTCCCACCGCCACCGAAGCTGCCCGTTGTTTTGGCAAAAGCAAAGCAAAGCAGCAAGAAAGCAGGTCCCAGCTCATTGCTTCTTACAGGTCCAGGAGGATGTTATGAACAATGGAGAGAAAAAAAAAAAACAAAAAACAAAAACAACCAAAAAAAACGTAAAAACTTTAGGAGAAGCATTTACCATGTGCTTCCTCCAGACACTCCAGATGATTGATCACACACAATGAAGGTAATAGGGAGACTGAGTAAGAGATTTATTGCTTCTTTAAAATATAATTGTTTTAATTTGCTGATGGCATTTTATCAAGATTTGTCTGAAACAGCTGTAAGATCTAAACTACGTTATTTAATGAACTCAGAGATTAATACGGATAAAATTATTCTACACGTGGAAGCTCTCAGCCAATCGTGGCAGCACAAACAGATCACTCCCCCACAAATTCACTGCTCGGTTGAGCAAGACCCACCACCCAGCAGGCAGAGATTCCTGCTCTGGCCCTGCCTGAAGCTCCTGCCCTCCTCAACTCTCACCACGAGTCCCCCATCCATCAACCATCCAGATCTGGAGTAACAAGCTGCAAGGGAAGAATGTGAGCCAAATAGTCAGAGCATGAGATGTTTCCTATTAACTACAGCTAGATTTCAGAGAATCATCAAAGGGTTTGGGTTGGAAGAGACTTTTAAAGATCACAGAGTCCCAGAATCATCTGGGTTGGAAAAGCCCTTGCAGCTCCTCCAGCCCAACCATGACCCTCCCCCTGACCGTTCCCAACTCCCCCAGACCCCTCAGCGCTGGCTCAGCCCGACTCTTCAACCCCTCCAGGGATCCCGGGGACTCCCCCCTGCCCTGGGCAGCCCATTCCAACGCCCAACAGCCCCTTCTGCACAGAAATCCTTCCTCAGAGCCAGCCTGACCCTGCCCTGGGCAGCTTGAGGCCATTCCCTCGGGGCCTGGCGCTGGCTCCTTGGCTCCAGAGACTCATCCCCCCTCTCTGCCCCCTCCTGGCAGGGAGTTGCCGAGGGCCAGGAGGTCTCCCCTCAGCCTCCTCTTCTCCAGACTGAACCCCCCCAGTTCCCTCAGCCGCTCCTCATAAAGATCACCCTGTCCAACCCACCTGCAACGAGCAGGGACATCTTCAACTAGACCAGGTTGCTCCAACCTGACAGTGAATGATTCCAAGGATGGGGCATCTACAACCTCCCTGGGCAACCACGTTAGTAATTTATTACAGTATCAGATTAAACACAAGCATCTGCATTTCATCAAGGGGCAGCAGATTAAATTTGATACAGCTACAAGAAGCCTCTTAGACTCTCCCTTACCACTGATGCCTGGAAGAGTTTCATGAGTCAGGCTCATACATCAACACAATAATAGTTTTGGGCAGCGTCGTGTCACAGAATGACACGATGAGTCTCACTATAAAGAGCATCAAGTGGCAAAAACATCATCATGTTACACTGGCTGGGGAAAGGATCGCAGAACCAAATCCACCAACAGAGAGCAGGTACAAGACGCAAATTCCCCTCCCAGGAATAAAACTGGGATGATTACAGAGCAGGGAGAGCCTTGCCTGGCTCCCATTTTCTCTTTCAAGATCCCAGTTGAGGCGCATTAATGGTGGAGAGACACTAAAGCAGCAGTTTTGCCCAGATTCCTTGCAGAACATTCAAAAAAAAAAAAAAACAACCAAAACAAAACAATCTTTTCTCTGATAAACAGGCAGGATTTGCAGCGAAGGCAGCGACAGAAGGAGAAGGGTGGTTTGAACAGGACTGCCTGGACCAGGAACAGAAAGCAGTTTTTTCCCCCTAAATAAAAGGAGGAAAATTTGCTCAAAACGGCTGGTTCCGGACCAAAAAAAGCAGCAAACTGAAGTGAGGATGGGAAAGGGCAAAGATGCACCTCGATGCAGATGTAAATGCACTCATAAAGGGCAATTTGAGTTGCACAGCAGTGACAGCAGCTACAGGAGTGACCACAATCAGAGCCAGCACTACACAATTCTACAGGAGGAAACAGGAGATTAAAAGCCACGAGAAACAAATCTTCATTTGCACGCAAAATACCAGGCGCCGTAATTACCAGCAGCAAATTAGGAACCTCTAAGAAGCAATACAATTTCAGATTTTACTGTAACACACTTGTACTCTCACAATGCGAAAGCCACACTTTGAAAAATTAATAATAATATTTTTTAAAAGCTGCTTTTGGGGCCAAAGAAGAAACACCATAATTACTTATTTGATGGTTTGGCTTTCCATCATAGCTTGAGAGCAGTGAGCAAAAGCGAGAACTCTCACTGGCAGGTAAGGTGCACACACATGCTGCCTTGGTTCAACAAAAATGCAGGATGAGGGAGCAAGAAAAAGAATATGTGGTTTGTTTGTGGCAAGGGAAAGGCAAGAAGCCGGCCCCAAGGATGTGCAAATGGATGTGGCACCTCCAAGTGGAACAGTTAACTGCACAGAGGCAAACCAAGAGATTTGGGGGGACACCAAAAGGAGACGTGGGGATCAACGGCACGATGTGCAGGTGGGAAAATATGGAAGGCAAAAGTAGAAGGTCAAGAAAAAGGAGAAGGTGGCGCAGGTTAAGACTGACCACAAAAAATTTGGGTGGAAATCAGTCCAGAATTATCCCACAGTTTCCACAGGAGAAGAAGCTCTTTGAAACTGAGGCTGGAATAGAAGGTGAGACAAGCAGTTCCTCAACTAAGAGCTTGAAAAAACAAGACAAAATAATAGAACTAATTTTATATTTTTAAAAAATCCTTTGAAAATAAACAGCTTTATTTTAAATCTCTCTGTTTACCTAGTACTTTGCCTCATCACCCCGAAGTCTTCCAAAACCAACTCCCCCTTCAGATACCAGTATTTGTGAAACTCAAATTCACGTAGGACAGGGAAAAATCAGGTGAAGTCAGGCTTCAAAAACAATCCCTGCAATCCTTCTCTCTCCGCAGAACCCACCACCGTAAGAACCAACAATCTTTGGGGCACTGCTGGAGGAAATAACTTTTGGATGAAACCACCCAGAGCAGGGCGCTGGTGCCGACCTGTGTCGCTGCTCTGCTGATGGTGGGGAACGGCTCACGGCATCCCCCAGCGCCTTGGGTTTGCTGCACCAGAATGAATAATAAAATTTTTAACAAGCCCAGAGCAGAGCAGGCTCTCTCTGCCCAGGATATTGCTTGTAACAGCAGCAAACCAGCACTTCGGGGGGAGAAAAAGTCATTCTCAACCTAAGAATAGCCAGAATCTGGGTTAGAACCAAAACCATCATTTCTAACAGCACATTTTTTAGAGCATCAATTACTCTAACGACCTTTCTGCTTATACCGAAGCTCCAGCCTTTGTCTTGGCCTCTGAGATGTGTCCTGGTAACATCTCCACCAGTTAACGGGGCTGCAGCTCGCTCGTGGCTGAAACAGGGACGTCAGCACAGCTGATTTAGGAAGAGCCAGACCCAAGGGTCTGGCAGCATCCTTTGGTGACACCCTTCTTCAGACGGGTGCTGACACAACAAATTATTTGCTACAGGGCCAGGCTGATGTTCCACCCACCCAGACAACCCAGGAAGAAGCAAGTTTGTGTCTGCATCTACCTCCTGGTGTGAGTTTGGGGCATCTGAGCTCCTCCGAGGCACCAACGTGCGCAACGTTGTAAATCAGAGGGAAGGTCTGGCCTCATTAACAGGCTTGACCGTGCCTAATTAACAAGCCACGTCCATCTCTAAAAGAAGCCGTGAGTTTACTTATGGCTGATGTAGACCTGTGTGTGTGTTTATTCATCTTTCTTACAGCTTATTTAACAGCTTCATGGAAACAATTAATTCAAACAGGGAATAAATATGAAGCCACAGACTGTGGTAAGCTGTTGGCCGCCGACTCAGGCTAACGTGATTACTAATATGATTTTACACTTTAAGTCAATAAACTCTGCGTAGAAGAAGCCAAACAAATAGAGAAATTCAACGGTGAACATGCAACGGTAATAACCAAACAGGAGCCAACGCGGGAGGTCCCTCAGCTCCCCCATCCCAACCAGCTGCATTCGAGGGATGGAAGAATTACCTGGATGTTACGGGGCGCCTCGTCTTCCAGTTGGGAATGGGGCTGCTGAAGGATGATAAAGCTGGAGACACCACGTTCTTCTTCACTATCCTGTAGCGTGTCTTTATCACCTTGTTGGCTGGGGGGCTCCTTATGAAGTGCAAGTTGGCTCCTGGGAGAAAGGAAATGGAAAAAAAAAAGGCTTGAAATTCAGGCGTGCGTGGAACAGAACAGACCTCACCAATGTAAGTCCTACACCCAGCTCTGCGTAAGGGGCACCCTGGGGTGTGTCAGGCACGGGACCACTGTGGTTGATGGTAACAAAAAGGCTCTGACGGGCTTGGGGGTGTTTGGCTTCACCAGCCCAGCAGCAAAACTCTACCAGGTGAATCAGACATTCCCCAACAACACCTTGATCACCAACACCGACACTGGAAACGGACTGACGTATTCCACCATTCCCGTTTTCATTGTGTTTTGCAGGATGATCTACACGCTGGTTTATTCTGCTGAATGTTTCATGCAATTAACAGTTATATGTTTGATTCTGGTTTTCCTCCACTTGATAGCCAGCAATTTTTTTCACGGCTTTAAGGAATGCATCTAATTGCCCGACTTTTATAACATACAGCTATAACTGCCCAGATAATTAAAGCTGACACTACATGCTGAGACTAAGTCTTCTGGTTTTATAACTGATTTAGAGGGCCGGCTGTTTTTCTTGGAGATACTCTAATTAAAATTATTGCAAGGTTGAGAGGGGAAAAGCAGAACCATTATTTCCCCTGAAAATGTTGTACCCGTCCCCAGGGGTGTCTCTGCGAGAGAAAAGAGAAGGGCACTTCCCAGGTAAACTGGTAATCTCAGGATGCTGGATCGGTGTTGAAACAAGAAAACCAGGGAAACGTGTTTCAGAACGGATCTCATTCCTTTGAGCGGAGGGCGCAGCTTCCCCATCTCGCTCCAGCAGTGGGAATGGTGATCTGTGCCTTTACAGTTTTAATACAGAGAATATTTCCCTTCTTGTGCATTCCTGAGTAAACGAGCATCTCTTGTTGGGTTCAGGAGGGATCCAACAGCCCGCGGCAGGAATTTCCACTCCCAAACTCAGCCAAGAGAGTTACAACTCCTGACGGGGGTGGGAGGAGAAAAGCAGACTCTGCCATGACAGATAAATCACCAGAATTCTTCATAATAAAGATGACAATCGCAACGCTCCTCGATACTATCCTGGAAGATAAATGATCACCGAGCAAGGAGCGTATGGAGGGATTCACAGCCTTCAACGCTGCCTATAAAGCCCCGAGCACGCTCACGACACCACGCAAATAATCTCTTTTATATGGCTGCAATAAAATTTGGAAGGCGTTCGGTATAAATAGCCCAGCCAGCTCGAACTTGGCATTACGCTTGCCCACGCCACAGCGTGTGGAACCTCCAGTCCCTGTTTGCACCACACGTGAAGCCAGATCCTCACCCCAAAGTGTTAATTTAAAAGACTCTTTTAAAGCTCTCTGACTCATATGCGGGACCGCTGCTTAATTACTGTATCAAAATAATGCCTGCGCGCAAATTATTTTCTGCAGCGGTAGAGTAAGCAGAAAACTTTGGATGATGCTCTCAAGACCAGCCCTCTGTTATTATATTAATATCTATATTAACCAGTGAGCACCTGTAAAACCGGCAGTGCTACAAGTTAAGGGGGTGTTAAGTCAACTGGTGAATGTCGAACAAACTGAAAAGCCAGGAAGTCAATGCCAGTCACTTAAAGAGTTTCTGGTGATCTGGTTAAAAATTTAAGAAATTAAAATAAGACTGGATGTTTGGTTGGGCCCATGTGAACCTCATGGAGTTCAACAAGGCCAAGTGCAAGGTCCTGCCCAGGGGTCGGGGCAATCCCCGGTATCAACACAGGCTGGGGGAGGAGTGGATGGAGAGCAGCCCCGAGGAGAAGGACTTGGGGGTACTGGTGGGTAAAACATGGGACATGACCCAGCAAATGTGCCCTCGCAGCCCAGACAGCCAACTGTAAGCTGGGCTGTGTCCCAAGCAGCGTGGCCAGCAGGTCGAGGGAGGGGATTGTCCCCC